AACTACAAAAGTGTGAATTTGTGAAAATGGTGACAATGGGCATGTGTATTACATGTTCAGTCTATAGGTATGTGAGCAGGCTTAGTGTTTCTTTACAAAGTGACAGCGCCAACTACTGGCCAGGAATACAAAATACAGTGAATATAGTTGTTTTCAGGATCTGTGTGAACAGGGATTGTTTTAAAAAGCGTTGTTGCCCGTACACTTAACTTTTCAAAAGCACAAATGAAAAACATTTGCATTTTTAGTACATCATTGTCATTAAAACCTACCCTCAGTCTGATGAATCTTTCTGACGAATCCTTCACTTGAATGAACTGCACCGAATCAGTCAGAGCATCTACTGAATCAACAAATGACTCACTCACAGAATTTTAAGTTTGATGCCAGTGCATCATTTATTTAAAATAGCCATTAGCCTGCTCTTATGTGCCATCAAGAAAGCAATAATATATTGTCTATCTATAAAATTATTTTAATTTCAGAGCTATATATTTTATGCTATTATCTTAATCTGTATCCTTTACTTCACACTCATGGTTTTTTTTAGCTTAACATATCCTCATTATAATGCAAATTGACAAGTAAGCTTACCCAATGTAGTAAGGAAAATAAAACCGAGACAGAACAGAAAAGGTTTTTTTCTCCTCTCATATTTCACTTCAAAGTGTTTTTGGTGGGTCTTGTGGTTATATCTGCGTAGGTCCTAGCATGAGAAGTTTGGAACAACTGGTCCATACAACTCGTGCGCTATTTTCCAAATCTTCTGACACCATGCAAATTTTGGGTGATCTATTACTCTATGCTAAGACATTCTATTTTAATATAAATATAGGGTAACACTTTAATTTAGGGACCAATTCTCACTATTAACTAGCTGCTTTTTAGCATGCATATTACTAGCATTTTGGCTGTTTATTAGTACTTATAAAGCACATATTAATACCTTACTCTGCATGACCATATATTAGATCCCTTAATCCTACCCTATTCCTAAACTTAACAACTACCTAACTAACTGTTAATAAGCAGCAAATTAGGATTTCTTTTAGGCAAAAGTTGTAGTTAATTAGTTAATAGTGAGAAATGGTCCCTAAACTAAAGCATTTAAATTAGCCAGATATTGTGAAGATACTGTAGATTTGTCATTATTAACGAAATAATGTTTTATATATTTAGAGTAAACCGGAACACTGTGACAAGTATATGTGAACTCAGTGCAGTCAAAATATAAAAAGATCCCAAAGTCACAGTCCAGCACACTCCTGTCCTCAACAACTCTTCTCTGAGTCTCAAAATACAAACACTCCACACACTCTCTCACTGTGCTTGTCTTGGTTGCCATGGTAATTTCCAATGCCCTGCTTCCGACACATTGCAGACTTTCTAAAAATAATGATCTCTAGTCTGTATTGTTTTTATTATTATTGCACCTTTTTATCTCTGTCTCTCTCTCTCTCACTGTCTCTCAGTTTTACACTTCATTTAGCTTTTAGGGCAGATATAGTACAAGTGTTTGTGGCTTCTATTCTTTGGTATTCTTAGAAATATTCATAATTGTAAATTTGGAATCATATACATTTCAAATAGGAACCTCATAAATTAAAAAAAAATACTCAAATGGTGTTACATAGAAGTGGTGGATAGATGCTAATATTTGAGGAGGCATATTTTTGCTTTTTATAAGTGAGGCAGAATGTGCCTATGCTTGACAGTCAGCCTTCAAGACATTTACAATAATGCAGTGTAATTGAATCCACAAACCCAGTGAGCAGCTCTCGCTTCTGGAGTTTTGCTCCATCTCATCCACTCTGACAATGTCACATCAGAGAGTGCAAAGGCGTGAACAGTATTTCTTCATAACCTTCTGATTATTGGAACTGGGACATTGTGAAGAATAACATAAGACAAATGCTCTTTCTTTTTTCTTCAAGCCAGTGTGCCAGTGTTATATAAGGATCATCTTCAAGAAACAGTGTCCTCATGACTTCGAGCTGATATAATAAACGGGATATAATTGAACTTTGTTACATGAACTGATTTAGATTTAACTTTGCAAAACAAGAGAAGGAAATCATTAGAATTCAACCTGAATCATGTTTTAACTGTCTATATATGTAGTTTATCAATTTATGCATTTTCTGAAAAATGCTTTTTGTTTAACATTGTTATGCTGTGAACGCACTTTTTCAATCACATAGTTCAATCCAAGGTTTCTCTTTAAGTTTATATCAGTTTTTCATAATGTTTACACTTTTGTACACATATTGGCCTCATCAACTGTTCAACTCTGTTATGTGGACAAAACTGTATACTGACTGCAAATAATGTGGCATGGTGCAATGATATGTGCAAGCCCATTATTAGACCATTTATCAACACAAAAAAATTTACTGTAGTAGGGTTGAAGTCCACATGTTTTGAAAGAGAATTGTTTATTCTAATTATAAGAATATGATTTCCAAACTTATTAACAAGGGTTGAAATAATGTTGTGTTTTACGGTTTGGACTTAGGATCATTAAAAAAATAGCTAAATAATTTTTAGTCACAGCAAGGCTGAAACTACATATTTAGGATTCATGGTACATTTAAAGGGTTAGTTCACCCAAAAATGAACATTAGCCCATAAATTACTCACCCTCAAGTCATCCTAGGTGTATATGACTTTCTTCTTTCAGACGAATCCAGTCGGAGTTATATTAAAATTGTCGTTGATCTTTCAAGCTGTTTAATGCCACTCAGTGGGTGTTGCAGTGCTTCAGTCCAAAAGAAGTTAAATAAAAAGCGCCCATCCATAAAAAAAAATGTCTCACACGGCTCCGGGGGGTGAACAAAAGCCTCCTGTAGCGAATCGATGCCTTAGATAAGAGTGTGTATGTTCTTAACTTACAAGGTTGTAATAAGCCAACTAATGCAATTTACTATTTTTAAAAAATATTATTCACAAAAATTGCAAACAAAAACTGTGAAATAAAATTCTTATTTATAGCTAACCCCCACTGGACTGGGTCATTTAGCATAAACATTTTTTGACTATCTACAATTGTAAATAGGTGAACAAATCATCTAGTCACTATGATATAACAGTCACTTTATGTGAAGTAACAATCTACACAAGTCTTTCGTAAGTAAGCCTTGGAGTAGAATGCGTCGAGTATAATCCCATACAATGGAAATGTAAACTTATGACATGGCACACGTTCATAAATTAACAGTCTAAAAAATTCCAAAAGCTATTTCGGATGTAACAGTTCTCGTCATTTACTTTCATCGCCAGAAATACTGTTAATGGTTGAAGAATGTGGCAAACGAAATATTTCACATGAACATTTGGATGGCATCAAAAAAATCATGGCTACTGATTGCTTATTGTCTTTGACACTATCATTTGGACCATATTGCCAAATGTTCATGCTCAGATAACTTACTGAACATCACTAAACTTACAGTAAACTTAAACTACACACAGCACAGGCAAGAGTATTAATTCTGTGTAATTTAGGGTTAAATTGTAGTGGCTTTAAAGGCCTTTATCTAAATTGATTCCAAGAGGCATCAAAATAAAACTTTTTCGAGTTGACCAAGCTCAAATGTGCATAGTCAAACCTCTGTTTTACGCTCACATGAAACATCAACACATCAAGACAGTCAAATAAGATAGTTTGAGTCCAAAAGAAGTTAAATAAAAAGCGCCCATCCAAAAAAAAAGTGCCTCACACAGCTCCAGGGGGTGAACTAAGGCCTCCTGTAGCGAATCGATGCGTTTATGTAAGAAAAATATCCATATTCAAAACGTAATAATCACTTTAATGTAGCTTGCGCTCACTGTTGTACACTGGAAGCAGTTCCGGGAGCAAGTTCAGCGTTGCGCATGCACCGGTGAGTCTTGTGAAAACCCTTTAAGAATTAGCCATGTAAAACTGTCACTATATGTCCCTTAAAGTTCATAAAGTTCAGCAGTTAACTTTTTCCATATCAAATATATGCCACTGTATGCTGAGATTGACTCCTAATTATTATAAAAAAATGACAAGGAGATCTATAGAGAGATCAAACATGTTGAAATTCGATTCACTCATTTTCAGCAGAGACCCATAAGCAAGAACTTCTTTATTTCTGCCATTTATTACAAATAAGCTTCCAACATATGTTTACATAGAGCCTTGACTGATCCTGATTTAATTGGTGACTGGCAGAGGAAATAGGATGTACAGTGTAATTGAAATATAACTTTTTGGTTACTGAGGAGCCAGGTCATAACATCGCTGTTTAATATCAGCTGCTTCAGTGAGGTAGACATTGAGACAATTCAGTCACAGAATATCAAGAGAAAAAGCACAGAAGCAAACACTACACACACGACACTTCAATGGTCAATAAACAGCTTATCACAAAGGAACACTTTCACTTGAAAATGTTGTAACCATTGCATCTTCGTAAAAGATTTTCAATACTAATAAGCTAATCATTCCATAAAGACAGACATCTTAGATGTTATTGGAAAGCCGTTAGGTGGTACACACGTATTCAGAAAAAGAGAACAGTCTTAAAGAGAGAAAAAAATCTATAAATTTTACGCAAAAAAAAGTATCATAGTGCACCATTGAGCAATACATAAAATTAAATAATCAATCCACATACACCTAAATATACAGAAAAGGTTATATACCTAAAGTAGGTATTGTCATATAAAGTAACATGTCAAATGTAACATACCAGCAGTTTCAATATCTGTGACGGCTCTACGCACTTTGAAATACTTGGCCTGAACCATTTAAATGTAGAAATATCTCTCATATAAAGATAGATAGATAAACATTTCTACAAAGCTATTGAATAGCAGCAAAAAGGTTATCATCGCTTTTAAAGTTTTTCTATAGCTCATAATTATGGCAACAAATATTCTTATCTTAGATAAGAGTGTGTATGTTCTTAACTTACAAGGTTGTAATAAGCCAACTAATGCAATTTACTATTTTTAAAAAATATTATTCACAAAAATTGCAAACAAAAACTGTGAAATAAAATTCTTATTTATAGCTAACCCCCACTGGACTGGGTCATTTAGCATAAACATTTTTTGACTATCTACAATTGTAAATAGGTGAACAAATCATCTAGTCACTATGATATAACAGTCACTTTATGTGAAGTAACAATCTACACAAGTCTTTCGTAAGTAAGCCTTGGAGTAGAATGCGTCGAGTATAATCCCATACAATGGAAATGTAAACTTATGACATGGCACACGTTCATAAATTAACAGTCTAAAAAATTCCAAAAGCTATTTCGGATGTAACAGTTCTCGTCATTTACTTTCATCGCCAGAAATACTGTTAATGGTTGAAGAATGTGGCAAACGAAATATTTCACATGAACATTTGGATGGCATCAAAAAAATCATGGCTACTGATTGCTTATTGTCTTTGACACTATCATTTGGACCATATTGCCAAATGTTCATGCTCAGATAACTTACTGAACATCACTAAACTTACAGTAAACTTAAACTAACACAGCACAGGCAAGAGTATAGAATTAATTCTGTGTCATTTAGGGTTAAATTGTAGTGGCTTTAAAGGCCTTTATCTAAATTGATTCCAAGAGGCATCAAAATAAAACTTTTTCGAGTTGACCAAGCTCAAATGTGCATAGTCAAACCTCTGTTTTACGCTCACATGAAACATCAACACATCAAGACAGTCAAATAAGATAGTTTGAGGAAATACATTTAGTCGTTACTATATGTACTTAGTCATTACTGTATGTACAAAGCAAATTTTGCTTTTGAAGTTTCAACCACAAACTATCTATGTCCTGCACTCTTAATAAGCTCAACCTCAACCTCATCTACAATCTCAGTCTACAGTTAGACCAAGCTACCAAAGTTAGGGCTGTTCAGTGAGCCAAAATACAACTCGGCTGAACTGATTTTCCCAATGGTGGTCCCATATCCCAGCCCCTCACTCTTTGAAAGGATTTTTGAGAAGTTAGTTTAAGAATCTGGTGACCTCCAGGGTGTTCCAGTGTGAATCTCACATCTACCTCCTTCTCAGTTGGACTTATGTTCGCCATTCTTGGCCCAGCCTCTGGTCATGGCTGATACCACAATGCTGTACATGTTGAGCCAAGCCTGGCGCAGTGGTGTTGTGTAAGCCGGACCCAGGCTGGACTGAAGCATATAGAGCAGGGACTCTCCAACCACCTAAGGAACATGTGAAAGAACCCAATCAATCAATTAATGGTCTGAAAAATCACTGTGACTCTTCCCGAAGATCACTGTCAATCTCATTGTCATCTTTGATGTTTGAGTGTTATGGCTGCTATATGTCATTTCAGTCATCGTAACTAAACCATGCAGGCAAAGTGTACTCACAGTGAAGGACTGAGTCTTCACCCCAACTGCCTGGTGCTTCCTGCCCAGGTTCGACAAGAAGTCCTCCAATGAATGTAGGTCATCAAGATGGCTCACAGCTGCATCGATCACTAACATCACCTGGACAGATATACAACCTCTCTTGAGCTGGGTTTACATTACATTTGAGCCCAAATTAGTCAATAGAAAGAAGCATTACAGAAGTCTTCATTTGCCTAAATCACGGGTGTCCAATCCTGGAAGGTCAGCTCCTGCAGAGTTTAGCTTCATCCTGTTTTAACACACCTGCTTGAAAGTCTCGCTAGGTCAGGGGTTAGAGCTAAACTCTGCAGGAAGGGGGTCTTCCAGGAGCAGGATCGGACACCCTGGTCCTAAATGAACCATGTGGTTCTATGGTGTAACAAACAACAACCAAACATATCAGTTGATCTTTCGACATATGATGGGAGAAAAAATGCAGCTTTCAGGCAATTTTGCTGTAGGTGAGGGATTAGGATTAAAATGTCCATCTATACATGCCCCTTACTCTTTGTGAGCAACCAACTTTTCAGTTACCGGCCCATCAACTACCAACAACGCCACTCCGAGGCTGTTTCTCAGTTCTAAAAATACAAAGAACAGTCTTGCGTTCTCATGAAGACTGGTCTTGCCAGGCTGGATACGAGGACACAAAATGCATCTTTTTGAGAATTGAGATATGATATGATCTTGTTGCTCAACTGACCGCCCCAACACATTTTAAGTAGTGGCCCAATTTAAAGCACAATATTTATTAAACATTTACTTATGTTATTTTTTACATTGTTTTATATATTTTTAATTCACCACTTACATGTGTATAAAGAGTATGTATATTACATATTCCCTATGCTTTGCCAGTATTAAGATTCTAGATATGCCAATAAAACGACAATATGCTTTCTTCATGTCTGTATGACTTTATTAAAATGATACCAGAAAAATCAGCAAATGTTTACTTTCACAAGCCGTCATAAGTTTGCGAGCTTGCAGAGGGAATGTCTTGCCTTGAGTGAGTTTAAAACTTATTTGAATACCTTCTGCTCGTATCCTCAGTACTTATATATATATATATACTGTATATATATATTTTTTTTTTTTTTTTGCGTATTGGAATTGAACATTGGCAGTTGACAGTGATGTGGAACAAGACCACAAGGACACAAGATTGCATAAGAACATATATTGAGAAACTGCCCAAAAGTTGGTTCCTGCCCCTTTACTTTACAAATTGTTATACATTTGACCTCTGGGCTCACCTTGGTGACGTGCTCAAGGAACTGTGGGCTGGAGAGGCATTCAGGTGCAACCCCACAGTTTGTGCTGTAGCTGAAGAGAGTAAGTAGTGCTGGATCCAGCTCAAATAACCTAACAAGAAATGTTACATTTAATGAGGCAGCACTACAAAGCAGTTCATCGACATGGATCTTCAACCACAATTGCTTATTTCACATTTCCTTAACAAGAAGGATAATTAAATTAGGTAATATAAGTCATTTGATGTTGAAGAGTACAAAGAGTATCCTTTTTTCTTGTAGTTTTTTTTTTTTTTTTCAAAGAAAGTCACTTTTATCCTTTATTTCGTGTTTGAAGAGGAATACTCAGGAAAGTGATACTTGGTAGCATCTTTCCTCTGAGAAGGTGATTCTGATGAAAATGATCTTTCTGCTCCCTGTCGCCAAGCAACAAGTCAAGCCTCTTACTGAGCTGCGGTTAGAGGAACAGACAGCGGGAGACTGATGGGGAATTTTTGATGGATTTTAAGAGATTACGCTTTAGTTCGTTTATTAAATTGCTATACCTTCATGATGAGTACAATCTTTGAGTTATGGAATGCAAGGATACTCCATTTTGATCGCCAGTTACTGTATGTGTTAAGTGCTTTTTATTTGCATAAAATCAAAACATGTATTTACTTTATAAATAATTACTTATTTTAAATGCATTATTTAATTATGATAATTATTTTTATTAAATTATTATTTTTGACAAATGCATCTGTCCCACAAAAACACCATACATGTACATGAAATACTGATCCGCACAGCTCTATTTGCAACTTTCTAAATAAACATGCAGGCTAAATTAAATAGCAATATCCCTTGGTGCAAAAGAGTATTAGCCAGCATGCATGACTGAAATATTACCTCGTGAACATAACAATTCCATGTGGCACCTTGTTCTTCCCCAGACTCTCCCAGCTGTCCCGGATCAGACCTTTATCTTTTTCAGAGAGTTTCTCCATTGTGACCCTCAGTAATGCTGTGTTCCCCGGTCGTCTTTCAGTGGTGTGGCATCAAAATGTCTTCTTCTGTTTAAAGTAGGACCTCCTGATTTCCCATTTCCAGACTTCCAGAGTTCAGTCTTCAGGTATGACCCCCCTGTGAAGTGCCAACATTGCATATCATTTTCCAAGGACAAATAAGACTTATCAGAGGAGCGTGCATGAGGGACTATAGGTTCAAATATATTTCATTTACAATCTAGTTACAATGCATTCAAATCAATTTTACTGCAAAGCTTTCCAACCGATGCTTCATGCACTCAACATCTAGAAGAGAAGACACCTAACTTAGCCCTGACTTTATGGTCACAATAAACAGTTTGAAGCTGACGTACCGTTCCTTCACTGCTCTAGAAGTGACCTTCTTCTCTCACTGGCTTCGTCTGTCTTTCTCTGGCATTAGGGTTTCTGTTTGTTCACTGCGAATATGTATATGTCAAGCCTGCTATCCTTGTGTTTGCACTCTCTCTCTCTTTCTCTCTCTCTCTCTTTTCCTCTTTGCTCCCCCCGCTCTCTCACACACATGCAAACACTCACTCACTTTCTCTCTCTTTATCTCTCCCTCTATCTGCTCCCTCTCCCTTCTCTGCTGCATCTAACCTCATAGATGCTGCTTGATGTGCATTCAAACTAGGATGAGGAAACCTTTTTGACAATCTTGCTTTTTAAAAAAGGGGAAACAAAAACTTACAAATATTTCAATGTATGTTGTGTTTTTATTCAGTCACACTGTAATTGTCCTAAATGCTCTCACCCCTGTGATACTGTGCTCAAATGGACAGTAAATAAGGACAGAATGGAAATATCTCTAATCTTCATTGCTCCTAGCACATGTTATGAGCCATAGCTCCTCCTACAGGTGAGAGTCTGGCACCTTCAGGCACTCCGTATGCATATATAATCAAAGAACACATTTGAATATACTGTTTTGTAGATGAGTGAAAGAACATAAATACTTAAAGTACTTCTGCTTTTAAATAACGGCAAGGCATCATCATTTAATATAACCAAACAAACAAGTCCTGCATAAGGTATTCATACTCACAGACTTAAATCAACTGCGTCACTGCATTCTGCCTAGAAGCATCTCTTCATTCTTTAAATAAAGATTCCATTTAGAATTATAAAACCATCAGAGACCATTTCAGGTTCCAAGAAAAACTTTCTCTAGTTCTTTAGAAAACCATATGTGTACTAGTGCGCTATACAGAACCAAAACCATCTGAAGAATATACAAAATCTATACCTATACATCTACAGTGTAATATCATTAACTTCTCCATAGAGCCCTATACTTAAATGACTATTGATAAGTATGTTCTTTGCTGAACATAAACTACTGTTTAAAAGTGTTTTTTTTTAAATGAAATTAATACTTTTATTCAGCAAGGATGAAAGTAACAGTGAAGACATATCACATTTTTTATTTCAAATAAATGCTGTTTTTCTTTTTAAAACCTATTCTTCAAGAAATGGATCACAGTTTCAACAAAACTATTAGGCAGAACAACTGTTTTTTTTACTTTAATAAGAAATGTTTCTTGAGCACCAAATACCGTAATCATATTAGAAAGACTGAAGTAATGGCTGCTGAAAATTCAGCTTTCCACCACAGACATTAAGATTTTAAAATATGTTGAAATTTATATGTTGAAATGTTGAGTTATTTTAAATTGTGATAATATTTCAAAATATTACTATTTTTACTGTATTTTCGATCATATTATACAGACTTGGGAGACTTCTTTCAAAATTTTAAGAATCTTATCTAACTTTCAAATGGTTGTGCAAGTTACAGTAGCCTATAATGTCAAATAACTATTGAAGAAACTTTATTTTTAAATTTTTAGTTGGCAATTTGACATCCCTTGAACTTGAACATGTTATGAATGAAAGAAATGGATCGCAAAGCACATTTTGAAATGTATCCAGCCACATCATAATATTGTAACCTGTGTATTTAAGTTCAATTAAAATCAGTCACCTTTGTCCAGATTAACAGGCTCAGTTCTTGAATTTTTTTTGTTAAGGAATCATAGTCAAATCCTCTGATTATTTTATTATTTTCTTCATATTTGCAGGGATTCCCTGAATAATTCGCACCTTATGTCCTACCTGATTCAGAGCTATATCTAGCATGTTATCAACGTAAGGGACATTCGGTTGTGACAGCAAGACCCAAAGCACTTGAAGATAGTGTGACAGGAGAGCACAGTTGCCATGGCGACCTCGCAGGAGCACTTGAACTTTCAGTTATATCTGACACTTAAAGCTCAAGATAGAAGCTGTCACTCAAACGCGACTGATGTGTGTGCATGAAACAGACAAGATGGACACTGAGTTTGCCTGTCAACTTTATTGAATCTACATATTTAACAGAGGCAAAATAAAATATATTTCTGAGAATGATAGCATTAAATTACGCTGACATTTTCAGAACGCGAGGCTGAAGTTGCCACAGCAGGTTTTTTTTTTTTTTTGTCAAAATAATAAACCCAAAAGTTAAGTGGTACTGAATTTAGCTAGATGCTAATGCCTACATGCAAAATAAAACAATTTGTACTCAGGAGTGCTGTTGTATCAAGCCACTACTTTATGACGTGATAGCCTATATTTTTGCAAAATTACAATAAAACATTTTTTCATCAGAATGCATGGCTACTTTTGAATAGTCACTACTGGAGAAGGATACTTTTTGCAAGAATAATGGTGCTATTTCATATTCATATTTATAATTTAGTTCATATTAGTTCATATTTATAATTTTGGAAGTCGTAATTACAACATCAGGTCATTCAAATCAATTTGGTCGAGCAAATTACAAAAAAAATGAAATGAATTTAATTAGGTTAATTAATTACAACAAAATGCAGCAAGGTTTTTTAATTCCGCAAAATTTTTAAAAAAAGCACATCAGTGTGTTCTTGCTTTTATGATCAGAATCGTTACATGCTCTAGTGTAATTGTCCAATATTATCCTATTTTGTATGCAACTTAGCCAGTCTTACTGTAAATGAAAAAAAGAATAATAATTTCATGTATTTTACTGTAAACTACAGACGAACTACTGCATCCGAGTGCTGCAGGAATGTGTTTTACAACTTTGTTTGCACTTCCGATTCCATTGTTCTGAAGTCGTGTTTTTTTTTTTTTTTTGTTAACACATATAACATAGCATAAAATACATCTGTAATACCGTACTCATGATTTTTTTTAAAGCATTTACAGTACATGTCTTAAAAAAACTTAACAAGTGGTTAAATGGGACTGCAAAGGTTGTCTGGGATATTAAACATCATCACGCTGAAAGTGTACACTCATCTACTCTAGTCCGCTTTTCTAAAATTGTTGTGTTTATTGTATTCCTGCAAATAAATAGTTGTTGGAAACTTAGTAATGACCTTAAAGTCGTGCAACTGTGTAGTTTAACTTTATCTTTTCACTTAGCAATAGTATTTAGGCTTAAAATTCATAAAAGTTGTGTTCATTTGTGAAGATTATCGTGATGAACAAAACATGTAAGAATCATAAACTTTTGTTGTTCACAGAGCTACATTTCTGCGATAATCCAAAAGCCAATAGAAAAAATCCAGTGTGATGCAAACTTCTAGGTTGGCCTAAAAAATACAGCATCCCTGCAGCATCCCGTCCTCATTGTTTTTTCCACTGACACACCCCAAATCTGAAACTCGATGCTCAAAGAAAATCAAATGTTTCCCCATTTGCACGACTTTGTGGTGATGTTCATATACACACAACCTGTAAATACACTCTTTTCGAAATGACGCACCAAACTGCTGCCAAATCTTGACCCCCTGACTCTCCCATTACCAGTGCAAGACGTAATTCTAGTGTATACTAGTATAAGAAAAGGAACAAAGCCCTACTGTATTTCCACTTAAACCTCATTTAGCCATGACAAAAAGTATTTCCAAAACAAACTGAATGGGTATCATGAGGTGAAACTGGGCGGCCATTTTCAAATGCGCAGTTGATGCTTTTCATTTTTCAGTGTCATCACTTCTTAAACCACTAAATATACAACTTATACAACAAAATGGACAGGACTGGCTATCATATTTTCACCAAAAGTGCAATTTTAGCCTTTAAAATACAATGCATGCTACACGGCTTGTTTAAACTAATTATGTTCCATCTTAAGATCATCATGTAACAGCAAAAGCAGAAATCATGACTCAAAATCTTTCCATTCCATTACACAGAAACACAAATTCCTATAATTCCTTTAAAAAATCACCGAAAATCCAACCAGGACTGAAGAAGTCAGTTGGAGTAAAAAGCTCGTGATGTGGCCAAATGCACTAGCTGTTTACTATGACTCTCAAAACAGCCTGACTTCAGGAATGAGAATTTCAGATGGACCTTGTGTTAAAGAAGAGTTGTCTTAGAATGTTATTTGTGTATTTATTCAAATGGAGTTTCATGAATAAAGCTAGCTCTGTGACAGTTATAGTTCATAATTATAGCAGACGTTCAAAGCCACATTTGACAGACTCCAGGTGGGAGATGTGTTCGTGCCAAGAAAAGTGTATTTTATTACACATAAGTGTAAGTGTATTTACTTGTCTCATTAGTGTTTAGTGCAGTTGTCGTTGCTAGGAAACGCTTGTTTTGTTTACTGTGTGGAGACGTGCTGGTATCGCGTTTGGTCTCGTTCTGTATCGCTACAGTAATACAAAATACAGTAAAATCTACAAAATAAGAATGAAAAGAAATATACAATCATGTTAATCATGCACAACATGGTTTTTCAAAACTGAAATGATCTGCCAGCGATTTGTTGCCTGACCACAGTCTCGCCTGCACATATGGAATATGGATGTGAAATACACTGGCCCACCAGCCACGTCTGTCAGCACTCTTCCTCCTTGGTTTCCACATTCCCTTCTTTTCCCCCCTCGTTTGTGACACTGTCTTCCCCAGTTCCTGCACTGTAAATAAAACGATAGCAGAACAGCGTGTGTCCATATGACTGCTCCATCATAATATTTGCATGATTACTTTTTCGCTATGCCAATGACAATAAAGCTGACATCAAATCATAAAAAGAAAGATTTATAATAAATAGATCTTTTCATGTCAAAACCGCATCTACTGTATTTCCATTGAGTAAGATGATTTTATTTTGATGGGTATGGGTCACAAGAGAGGAAGTAATGTCAAACCTTTCATCAAAACTAGGATAAATACTTTAACACACTGTTAAATCTTTGCATTGAACAGATTTGTTCTGCTCTGTGATAACCAAAACATTAAAAAAAAAATGTCCACACTAATTTTAAACCCCATCATTCATGTGTCTTCATACCTCTTCTGGGTTTCGCTTTCAGTGCTGTAATGATCCTCATCCGCACAGTCATTGTCCACATGGAGGGCCATATTTGTTTCTCCCTTTGATCTCACAAAATT